CTGCGATAGAGCTAAAGCCTACTAGGGATAACCAAAGTCACTGACAGATAGCACCTTTGTTATTATTGGGACGCATGAACTGTCAATTTCATAGTAAAAGCAATCTGTAGATAACCTATCCGTCCTCCCACAGGTAATGACAACCATAGATTAGTTTGCCTATCGCCAGTAAGTTTATTGAGACGGCAAATTTAAAGATAGATAGATTTTTCTATCTCCAGTAGGGCAAAACAAGGGATAGATAGAATATTGGGAACGGCCGTAAAACTACGCAACGGATTTTGATGCGGTTTTTTAAATAGATAGAGTGATTCTTAGGTAAGTTACGAACGCTAGTATCAAATAAATCATAATTTCTATTCATAAAACTGAATCAGTTTTTCCGAAATGATTACAACACAAATCACGATGTATTATTATTGTATGATACGCAGAAGTTATTCATCATCCACGAATACAGTAAGAATAAGACAGATCACCGGAAAACTATTTTCATATAAATAAATGTATGAGGTGGTACATTATTATCTATTACAAAATTAATACTTATAACTATTTTTATTTCATTTTCTTATTATTTCAGTAACTTTTAAACATAACATAACATCACGCCTTTTATCCCCGATGGGGCAGGCAGAGGTGCATATTACGGCACTTAATGCCACTGTACAATGTAACACCCACTTTTCACTATTTATGTTATGAGTCCCATGTAATAGGGGGTGAGTCTATTGCCATATACCGGGCACAATTACAGACTCCATGCTACTTCTGAGAATTTTTTTGGAGTATTTAGCAACAAAAAATAATTCTTAGCACTTATCTCGCTGCGTGCTTCTTCCATAGTTTGGGAGAGAAAATGCCTGAGATACCAATGTTCCCTTCTGTATACAGAACATTAATGTAATATTTCACTGTTTATTCTGACTAACGACATATTTTCATTTTGTTTCAGAGCTGTACGCGGAACCAAGAATACGCAGCATATAATACTAATCGCTGTTGTCAAGAAAAGGTAAGCGATTTTTATTTATAACACAGACCCAAGTTTTCTTTCAGCACTAACCGTATTTCTATAAACTGTCGGTAAAGAAAACACCTTGTTCTTGTCCGATATACCAACCTTGCTTAGATTTAAATGAAACTTATAATAGCCAAAAATTTTTTTAAACGTTGTCCCACACTATACTTTTTACCGGGGCTCCGGCTAGACGTGCAGGAGAAGGAACGGGGTGGTTTTTAGTCAGTAAGAGTCTGACACTCCATCCCGCCTCACCCAGGCGGGAGAAGTAATTCGATGTTTTTCCGCCTTAAAAAAAACACTATTCTTTTTCCTATGTCGTGGGTGTGTTTACAAACATATAAGCTCACATACACATGACACCCAAACCCGGAACAACATTCTGTGGATCACACGAAGAGTTCCTCCGTGCGTTAATCGAACCTGCGACACGTTGCGCAGCAGCCAGTTGCCCAACCACCGTGCCAGCCGTGCAGTCAAATTATCTAAGAACGGAACATTCAAATCTTAACTAGAAAAAAATCACTTATATCTTTGAAATAAAAATTTATAAATGACGTTTCGAGAATAGGGATGATGACAGGGTATGAAAATTATAAATCTAATTAGTCCGTCAGTTAGGTGATGAAAAAATATTAGACACGTATTTTTTTATTTTGTTGTATAATAAAATGATACTTAAATATAACGAGTCAAAGTTTAGAGGTGGGGGGTAAAACGTCATTTCTACGTATAAAATATAGATAGAACTGACGTCACGCGACATTTCAAATCAATATATCGTCGAAAGTATTCGTTTCTGTAAACAAATAAAAAATACGTGTCTAATGTTTTAAAATAATCTACGAGATGGACATTAAACTAAAAATTAGTCATCTACCCTATTCAAGTCCGCTCCGCTTTTTTTCAAACCCCCGTTCTCGATGTCATCAGTGGGCATTCCGAGAATCCAAGTATATAGGTACCACACCGAAGTATTTTGTATCCAGAGCGGCCATGACATGTGCCAGTGTACGTCCCTGTAAAATATACAGCCTGACATTTATTAAGATTGTGGCCTCCTCGGGTACAAGGACGAGTACTCGATACATTTCCTCAATTTGAAAGATGTTCAATATTCAATAACTTGTTGCGTATTTGCTCATATTCGATGTTAACGTCATATACGGAGCGTCCTTGGCCTGGTTACCTTGTTTCACGGTCTGTACGTCTCTGGATTTTAGCTGTGAGCTTATAATTCTTCTAAAATCTCTTTTGCTACCTCGTTGGTGAAATGGTTGCTAGTCTGACTGCCCGGTAAAGGGTTTTAGGTTTAATTCGGTGATAGAAAAAGTCTTACTAGTGTTTAATTAAAAAATAGTAATAGTACCTACCACTGAGTCTGGAATTATGACCGGATTAATGTATTACTGGGATATTTTCGTAAAATCGCCATTAATTCTCTGCTCGACCCGGGAAGGGTCCAAAGACTCTTTGTTAAGCTTACCCTTGCAACCACTCGACCAACGAGACAGTCAGTGTTCACTTGTTGTACCTTGAAAAACAATATTGAATCATTAACACATGACATCAACAAACTATAAGCGCCCACTGAAGCCAAAAGGTCTCTTCTCTCACGGAGAAGGAATCACCACGCTTGCTCTATGTAGGTTGGATATTTCAAACTTATTATTAGAAATTTTAAGCCTAGATTCCTCACGATATTTTTCTCCGATTGTGAATGGTGTCTAAAGAATCTTAGAAAGTACATAATAATATAACTCTGAAAAATCACATTTGGTACTTGCTGTAGGTAGGTTTCGAACCCACACCCTCATGCATGACAAGCGGGGCGTCATAAAACTCTGGGCCACCGTAAGTGTGTAATATTGAATTGTATACCAGTAATTTACCATTAATAAATCGTACAATCTATTTTCACATCAGCATTGTACACATATTTCAGTGCTTCCCACTGAATTCAGGTATTTCATTCGTGAAGCCGATCATGGTATATACAAAGTAATGAAGTGTAATTTTCAGACTGAACAAATAAATTGGTAACTATTGTTAACCATGTTGAGTACTGATTTAATTTAACGTGTTCAGCTAATAGGTTTGTTTTCATGATAAACTGATGCAGAGATTATAAATACTGCCTCGTTGGCCAAGTAGTCGCCAGTGCGATTGCCGGGTCGGGCAAAGTATTACTGGGTTTAAAAAAAATCTCAGTAGCACGGCGTCTGGAATTATGCCCGGCATAAACGGCCAGAGGTGCACAATACGGCACTAAATGCAACTGTACAATGTAACACCCACTTTTTACTATTTATGTTATGAGTCCCATGTAATAGGGGGTTAGCCTATTGCCATATACCGGGCACGATTCCAGACTACGTGCTACTACTGAGGTTTTTTACAACCCCAGTAATACTTTGCCGGACCCGAGAATCGAGCCCGAGACCCCTTGCCCGGCACTCGCACTTGCAACCACATAGCCAATGAGGCACTCTTCTCAAATTAAGTGTGCTTATTCCGCCCCTAAAATGAATATTACCTCTCTACAGTACCTACACTCACATTCACATAACTCAAAACATATCCTTCATACCTTTCATGGAGGTAAGGTTACTTAAAAACTTTCCCCTATAACAGATACATTGCAACTTCGTGGAGTTTTACAACAATTTGAGAATAAATTTTGATACAAGAATCGATACTATGACGTTACCCGTCTCGTCTCGAATGCCTTGATTAAATTACTTTTAAAACTGACTTTATTGGCTATTTCGTTTACAAGGCTGTTGGTCTCATTATTAAGTATCGAATTATATTTGTTTTAGAGTTTGTTTAAGAATTTTCTTGTTAGAAAATTATAAAGATTACATTTTTAATTTGGCCTGTAAGTATTGTTGATTGCTTCTTTTGTGAAGTTGCCGTCATCATGAATAAAATCATAAGTAATATTTCCCTAATGAATAGTAACATACATATGTACATAACATTTTTTAATTAGAGTTATCTAGGAATGTCACTGTTTACGTATGTTATTTGGAAGTTGCATTATAATAAGCTATTTTTTTTTCCTCTGGCAACCGAGTCTCCAATAATGCTCCAATACGATGTTGTCGACTATACTGCCAGTGTCAACTGGTGACGGCAGATTAATGAACCGTCGAACTTAACTTTGTGGTAGTTTTTAGTAGTTAGTAGCTGAAAAGACAACACTATTGGGTTAGTAAACATATAAATATTATCAACTATTTTACTGTTTATACATAGTGGTGTAGAAAATAATTAAGAGGACGTACACAATACAGACAGACAGATATGTACATCACTTACGTTATTGAACACCGTCATATTTTCAACTCATTTTCATTTAAAGTGTATTTTTTGGTCTACTCTGCAATTGTGATTATGATTTCTATATTATTATACATTCAATAATTTACCACATTTTCTTAAATAATAGATAAACTTATCCTTTGCTTTTGAGAAATAAAAAATATTATTATTCTTAACTAAACACATAATTGTAACACTGTAAATAAGAACCCTTGTTATATATAATAATATTTATGCTATCTTCACTGATGGTAATCTAAAGATTGAGATTAGATATTGGTTTATGGGTCATCAACATAAAATCGGCACTGATTAAGATTATTCCTAGCATTGGCGTTTTTTCTGTCTTTACGCACAACTAGACTAAAAATGCTATTACACATGCTAATTTCACTGGCCTGTGAACGGCGAGCATACCAGACCCGTGCGTACGGGTCGCGTTCAGCGCTCGCCTCAAAAAGCCATCAGACCACCACTGATGGGGCCCAATAACGCTGATGCCGATACGGAGCCGCGGAGACCAGGAGTAGGAACGGGTTGGTTTTTAGTCAGTAAAATCTGACACTCCCTCCCGCCTCACCCGGGCGGGAGAAGTCATTCGATGACTTCATGACTTCAAAAAAACCCATGGTAATTTCAAGCACACAAGCATGCTTCAATTGAGCACTTGTCACTTAGTAGCATATTTGTTGGAATGGTATTTAAAATAGTATGCTCAATTCGGGCATGCTTGTGAATCGACAGGCGTTCGAACATTTTTGAACATGCTCAGTGGAACGCCTTTAAAGTTTGTTATTTTAGTGCCAAAATATTAACGAATCCTTTTAACAACTATTGTTTATAATAAATGTGACCTCAATGATGAACTATCATCAATTACACATTCAATTTATTATCTTGTGAATGTTTATTGTCTGTATCACAGCGGAATATATTATTTCTTTTTTCATTTTACTATTTGATAAAAAAAAACAATATTAACAAGCATTCATATTTGGAACTATCAACATTCGAAACATATTATTCCAAATATGAAATTCGAATATTAATGCTAGGCCCGCAAGCTACGGAACACAAAAGAAACACGGCAACGGTTTCAGCTGTTATCATTTTATATTGTTTCCCGGTTTGCTTTATATTCGTAGCCATGTAGTAGGTACATATTTGGCCAGCTCCCAGCTATTTAGTTTTAATTTTTACTACACTGGTTTAAGAAAAATTGATAGCCACTATTTAAAAAAAAAGTTGCGCCACACTAAGATTTTCTCCTGTATCGTGGGAGCGTTTATAAACATACAAGTTCACATACACATGACAAACAGTTGTTCCGTGCGGGAATCGAACCCCCGACAGTTGCCCAACCACCGTGCAGTCCATATTTTCTTTATAAAAGAATGACAGGATGAGAATTTGTGACGTGTTTGCCGTAAACAACTATTTAGTACCTACTTATCATCATACTCAAAGTAGAATAAAACTGTGGAGTTTGTTTAAATGCGCTAATCTCCGAAATTACTGGACCGAATTGAACAATTCATTTATTGAAGAAGGTTTTTTTTTTTTTTTTTAAGGGGGGAAAATCATCGAATGACTGCCCCCGCCTGGGTGAGGCGGGAGGGAGTGTCAGACTCTTACTGACTAAAAACCACCCCGTTCCTTCTCCTGCA